TGCCTGGCGCCTCAGGGCCGGAGCTGGCGCTGTCCATGGTGCTGCCACCCGCGCGCTCGTGCACCAGGGGGCAGCGCAGGCCGCCGCAGCCCTCCTCTCCGCGCCTCAAAAGCTGGCTAACGCCGGGCAGACAGCCGCGGAAGCCCGACGGGTATTCGGCTCCGCTGGGGACCGGCCAGAGCCCTAGGGGGAGGGGAGCGGACAAAAGAAATGTGGAAAGGAGGGGAGAACAGGGGAGAGGAGGAAGAAAGATGTAAAGAGGAGAGAGAAAAAGGGAGGGGAGAAGTGTGCAGCGGAGGGGAGGGAAGAAAAGGGAAGGGAGGCAACTCGAAAATCCCCTCGGAGTCCAGACCTTCGCCCACACGATTACAACTTCACAGCCAGCCAGGCCTTTGCTGCCTCTCCACTTAGAACGATCTGGGGCCCCTTCTTCACTTAGTTGCCCACTGCCCTGAGCTTTCCTCTCCATTCATCCCTCCTTCATCTGGCTTCGTAGAATGCATGGCTCTGATCCCACAATTTCCCACACATACATACACACTCGCTCCTCGCCCCACCCCAGGCTCCCCCGGTCTACCTTGCACCGAGTTCTGAAGGCTTTTCATGTACTTGACGCTGAGCTCCAGTATATCTGCCTTCTCCAACTTGCGTTTCCGGATCTACAGATCCGTGGAAAAGGCTTATAGCACAGCAGCCCAGGTTCCAGGGGATGAGGCTGGGGATCGTATCACCGCCTACCTCCACCACATCCCCGTGTCTCACCTGGTGCGAATAGTGTTTCTCTAACAATGATTTGAGTTGCTCCAGAGACACATTAATGCGCGCCCGTCGCTTCTTCTCCATCAGCGGCTTGGAGATCTGTGAATGAGTGGCAGTAAGAGAGTTGGGTCTCAGCCCTCTTGCCCTCTGCCCCCCACCGCCACCCCCGCATCCCTCGGGGCCCCAGACCTTGCGGAAGTTGCCAGCGGGGCCGCCAGAGCTGCCCTGGGTCTCGAGCTCAGTGCCCATGTTGTCGTAACTGAGCCAGCCGGAGGCGGTGCTGCCTTTATAGGGCCCTCGTTTACATATCAATGAGGCGCTCCTGGACTTGCGGAGCCCCACGGGGGAGGGGATGGGAGGGGGACAGACAGGGAAGTTCCTCACCTCTCTCTGCTGACACCCTCCCTTAGCCCAGGCTTCGCCTCCAGGACCCCTTCTCCTTCCCAAGGGACCCCTTGTACCCTTTCTCAGTCTGTCTTTTATCCCTCTCATCCCATCACTTCCTGAGTCTGGGAGTCCCTCCCATGCCCATCTTCTCCATGCCCTGCCCCATCCAGTCTCCCTAGGTTCTGGGCCCTACCACCAGGCCCAGTGGGGGAGGTCCATGAGCCCAGCTGGCTGCAAGGCCCAATAACGACTATGGTTGAGCACCGGGCCTTCTCAGGCCTGATGAAGATGCGGAGGCCAGGAGCACCCGCCAACGAGGCCTTTCTGCGGGCTTCACGCTCTGGCCGCGCTGGCAACGCTGCATTAGTCGCCCTAATGTCGGGACAATGCAGCGATTTTCTGCCTGTGGCCACTCAAAGCCAGGCGCAGGCCAGGCCCGCAGGGGCCACGCAGCAACATGTGTCCCATTAAAGCGTGCAGCCCGCCCGCAGGGCCACAGACAGCCTACTTCTGGCTGGGGGCTCAGGACCGGGAGCAATCCTGCACCAGGGTGCAGTCTGGCTCAGGTGCCCGCTGGCCTCGCTAGGACCCATCCCAAGCTGGGGGCAAGCTACAGGCAGCCTCAGGGCAGGGCAGTCAGAATGGCCTCCCCCACTTTTACTCCTGAGTTTCCAGGCTGGACTGGACAATTCAAGCTCTGAGGACCCTTCTCCCCACCAGGGTAGGCATGGGAGTTTATTCCCCTCACCCCTGCCCCTTGGCCTTCTCTGGGTCCCTACCAATGGGAGGTGGGATGCATCTGGGGATAACACCATTCTGAACATTTGGAGGTCCAGAATGCCAACCCCCTTTCATTATTCAGGCTGTGGCGGGAGACCCAAGGAACTCAGAGGAGGCACATGCCCCAGGATGGGCTAGACCCTATGGTAGGACTCCAGGGCAGTGCCGGCTTGGGCTTCAGGAGGATGGACTCCAGTAGCTGTGAGGGATGGGAAGACTGGCGTCCAGGGGAGTCCCTGGGTTCAAACCTACCCATCTCCCTTTTCTGGGTTCTCTTGGCTTCAGTATCATGAACATGTAGGCCCCTATTGCTGCTTGTGAAGGAGATGGGGAAACTATGGATCCAGAAGTTCGGCAGTGGAGCCCTGGTCCCGAGGAATGAACAAATTGGCCTTTGCAGGGCCTCAGTGTGAGGGGGAGGGAAATCGCTGGGCCCTTGTGGGCCACTCCAGCTCCCTGGAGACGAGGCATCCTCTTCCCCACCCGCCCCCGCTCGGGGTATTGATGGGCCCTGCCCAGTAGCGACGTTCCCAGGAGCCAAGCAGCGTGGAGAATCGCGCCCCGCCCTCCTTTCACACGGAGACTTCAGCGACAGCGGCTCCGAACAGTTCTTCCGCCCCGGCCTAAGGGCCGGCCGGCCAGATCCCGGCTGGCCCCGACCTGGTGCGGGCGGTGAAGCTGCGGCTGTA